TAAGTGGAGAAGTAGGTCACTGGGCCACTTAAATTGAGCGGGGTTTGCCCAGAACTCCTCTGCTAGGCTTTTCTGCATTAATGCACCTGGTCAATAAACAAATTATTGAGGAGTGAGCGAGGCATCACAGGAATAGGGGTGACTGGGGTGCCTGATCAGAGCGACAGAGGGTAAATAAACAGCTAAGTGTAACAACTTATGCAGTGGTAAGTACTAAGAAAGTGATGCTGGAGGCAAAATGAATAACTAGACCACTATAATACCTTAGAGTAAGTGGTCAGGGAGGGTGTCTGAGGGTAGGCAACATTTGAGCTTGCACGTGTGACAAGGCTTCAGACGCATGGAGGTCTGGTGGGGAGAGTGATTCAGATAGAAGGCATGGCAGTTGCAAAGTCCTTTGGTGAGAACAAGCCCAGCATGTTCCAAAAAGAGGAAAATGCCCAGCATGGGTACAGAGGAGGGGGAGGGAGTGGGTGGCAGTTGATGAGTTTGGATAGCCAGGAGGACCAAGTCTCCCAGAGCCTTGAAAACAATAATGTAGTTGAGACTGTTCCAGGTGCCCTGGGAAGTCATCAGAGGGCTGTGGGACACCTTGTCAGAGGGAGGATCAGAGAGGTAGCTTTATCCTGAAGGACAGGCGCCCTACTGTACCTTCCTGTCTTTGTTTGCTGACCTTTTCCCCTCTTCCTTCATGAGTCACTTCTATGCTCTGGAGTTAGGGCAGATGGACTGTCAGTCCTACCTTTTGGAGGACTCTGCTTCTCAGGCTCTGCTTCAGGGCTGTGTGTGGGGCCTGGCAGATGGTAGGTGTAAGGGGAACTGGCCACAACAGGACCTCACTATGGTCTCAACATATCTGCTGGCATCCCCCACCCCCAGCCTCTGTGTTGGGTCCTCAAATGTGAGCATCTTTTTGTGTGCCAGTCTAGAAGGAGTAATGGCATCTTCCCCCATCACTTTATTGCTCCTACCCTGCCCCAGGTCTAGCTAGGCTAGGACTTATCTCTGCTTTGTTGATATGGTAGAACAGGATTGTGACTTTGAAAGTTTGGGACAACTATGAGGTCATGCTCTGTGAAAACACCTATCATTTGGGCTCTAGGTTTGATGTGGAACTCTTGCACTTAAGGTAGAAGCCCCAAATTGGGACCATCTTGCCCATCTCTGAGAGAGCCAAGCTTAGAGCTTCAGTCATGTGAGCCCAGGAGCTCTCTCACTAATGTGGTCTGTCATTTTTATATCCAGACCCAGGTTGTTGGGAGTCCTGGCTCCGGAGTCTGCCACACCTGGTCAGTCCAATTCCACCATCTATCAGCTGCTAACCTTGAGCAAGTTGGAATTGGCCAAACTCTCTGAGTCATTTTACTCATCTCTAATATGCGTATTGACTCACGAGGTGTTGTTAGGAACAAGCGCCCGTAAAGCTCTTTGCACATTTCTGTCCCTCGTATGCATAAGTGAAAATAAGATACTCTCAGCTAGATACTCTTATTTCAATTTTGAAGTTTTTCTGTTGCCTAATGGGGTCTCTTAAGCCAGAGCTTTTAACCTGGAGTGTATGACTCCTCAAGGAGTCTGCACAGCTTGAAATTCTTCACAAGACTAGGGCATCTCTGCCTCTGTACAAATTTATTGGGAGAGGGCCACAGTTTCTGAGAGGGTGTTTGCACCCACAGAGACCTAAAGGTCCATGGAGGCTGGTGCTCCTCGAGGAGCCTGGCTTCAGTCAGCCTATGGACTATTGGGTGAAGCAGGAGATGGCGTGTTCAGCGGCACTCAGAAGAACTGTTGGAGAAGCCATCATGATGAAGGTCAGTTGTTAATCTGATGTGAGGCTGCCCCTGAGCCTTGGCATTTTGTTTCTTTCCAGGCTACTTCCATAATAAATGTGTTAGAAACAGGTCAGGGATTGCTGGCCATTCTGTGGAACATCATCCCAGCCTGGCATGGTCCTGTCCCCTGTACTGCATGGGGACAAGAGGGGGTCTACACACTACTTCTTTTTTGGGGCTCAGGAATGCTGCCTCCTAGTCACTGAGGTTTTCTGTGCCACATTCTATGCTGGGAGATGGGGTGGGTCTGGGTCTGGGTGGGGGTGCTAGTGGCAAGAACCTCACCAGAACCCTTATAGCCCAGAGTCACAGTACTCTCAGGCAGAAGGGTAGTGCCTGGGTTTGTTGATAGAGTTTGCTCAGGGAGGTGAGGGTCACCATTTGAGTTGGAGCAGTCTCAAATAGATGGGGTCTGAACGGTGACTTGGAGGAAGAACAGGAACTGAACTTGCAGATAAGGGGAAGGAGGATGTCCCAGCAGAAGGACACACCTGTGCAAAGATCATGGTGAGCAAACTTTCAGTGAGTTCTGGTGTATTTATATGTGAACCTAGATTGAGGTAGGAGAACAAGGCTGAGGAAATGGGCAAGTGTGGACCTGTGGAGCTGAGGGGGTTTGGCCTTTTTTAACCCAAAGCTGAGGGTATTGTGGGGGAGGGCCACGGCCAGCTTTGTGGTTTATAGGGATGCAAAGTTAGCAGAAAGCAAGCATTGACTGGCTGAGGACCCAGTGTCAGCACTGATACACTGGATGCGCTTGGGACAAGACCTGCCCCCTGCCCATCACTGGATAACAGTGGAATCTGATCACATGACTGTTGGGATCACTACATGGAAATAAACATATGAAGGTCAAGCAGGCCTCAATCCATGTAGTTTTGAAGGTTCTTCATCACATTTCCTGGGAGCCCCTGAACTGTCCCATTCCTCAGAGAGCTCACTCTGCCCCACCAGGCCAAAGGGCCCTTCTATTCCTTTATCCCTCTGCCCCACTTCTACCACTACTTTAGCCAAGTCGTTGTAGCATTAGAAAGTTATCACTGTATTAAGAACAATATTGAAAAAGGAAAAACATCCCCCCCCTTACTTCCTCTGTCCTAATATGTGATGGTACTTTTCTTGTCTTTGGATCAGCTTCCAGCCTTAGTTTCCTTTCCCCTTCACCTCTAGCTTCCCAGTTTCCTGCACTCATCTCTTTTCATACCCCCTAGACAGTTGCTAATGCTGTTTCTTTTGATTGCCACTACTATTCTCTAAGACCTTCCCTGAGAGCTGCCCAACCTTGTGGGCCAAGGTCAGAGAGACAGATGGCCTTATCCAGTTCTCCAGCTTTCCCCCCTATCCCCAGAGCTCTTGGGATGCAGCAAGGTTGGGGTGCATTGAGTGAGCCAAGCATGGCAATACTAAGGTGCAGGAACCCAAGATGCAGGGGTAGGGAACTGTGTTCTGCCTCAGGTATGCCACATTTGTGTGTGAGTACAGTCACAGTTTGCCTCCAAGAAATAGGACCAAGGCAGCAGCTAAGACTAGGTGTTGATACTGTGTTTTTCCCCATTTGTTGATTTGGTTTTTTGCCAGAGCATGAGCCAGGACAAATCTTATGTTCCTGCGTAGCAGGCATGGCTGGGTCCAAGCGTTCTCTGTTTGCTTTAGAATTTCCTGGACATTTCTTAGTCATCTTAGCACTGAGCTTCTATTTTTAGTGTGCCACTACCTCCTAGGGGACCTAAAATAAGGCTGGCTTAGCTTCTTGGCCCCTTATTGGCTGGAGTGGAGTCACAGGGTGGGGGACTGTCTGCCTTGTCACTGTTCCCCTACCAAGTCCCTCCCTGCCGGCTCCTAGGGCCTTGGGTGAGGTCATAGGGATAGAGGGAGCTAGCCCTTACCATGTTGATCTGAGGGCTTCACGACATCCCCCTAGTGGTAAAGGGGGATGCCACCAGCAATGTGCTGCGAAGGGCAGTGACTTGCATGAGATCCTACCACTGCAAATGGTTCTGCTTGACTTCATGACTGCCTGGGTTCAGAGTCTTACTATCAGGGTAGGGGTAGGGGTGGGCTGGGAGTGGGCTCTTCTGAAGTCAGAGATAACCATAGAACAACACATGGTCTACAGTCAAGGGATCTGCAGGGAGGTGTGGACGTCCTTACTCAGAGGGGCCTAGCAAACCCAGAGTGGCTCTTGTCTAGGGATTGGGTTTTCTATCCAGAATCCTTGGGGCCATTGCCTCTAGTTAGGAGGGGGGCTCCCCTCCCTCTGAGAGACCCAAGAGAGAGCCTCTTGGATAAAGGTAATGCTGGCATGGCGGGATATGAAGAGACATGTTTTCCCCTCCTAGCCTCCATTTCCCCTTCCCATACACCCCTCAGCTCTAACTGAACATGTCCCCAGCTCTGAAGTAAGGGTCACCCCTATCAATGAAGAAATACCCCAGGTGGCCAGGCGCGATGGCTGACACCTTTTGGGAGGCCGAGGCAGGTGGCTTTCCAGCCTGAGCCAGAGCCACACTTCGTCTCTAAAAACAGCTGGGCAATGTGGCAGGTGTCTGTAGTCCCAGCTACTTGGGAGGCTGAGGCAAGAGAATCACTTAAGCCCAAGAGTTTTTTTGAGTTTTTTTTTTTTT